CTAGACTTTGATGAGAATGAAGACACAACATACCCAGACTTATGGGACACTTTGAAAGCAGTGTTAAGAGGAAACTTCATAGAACTATGTGCCCACATGAAGAAACTGATGAATAGTCACACTGGAGAATTAACAGAACAACTGAAAGCTCTAGAACAAAAAGAAGAAAACTCACAATGGAGGAGTAGATGCCAAGAAATAATCAAACAGAGGGCTGAAATCGACAAAGTAGTAACATTAGAAAATCAATGATACAAAGAGTTGGTATTTTAAGAAAATCAACAAGATAGACATAACTCTATCCAAACTAACCAAAAGGCAGAGAGAGAACATGCTAATTAACAAAATCAGAAAAAGGGGAATATAACAACAGACACTGGAAAAATCCAGAGAATTATGAGGACATACTTTGAAAACCTGTACTCCACAAAATTCGAAAATCTAAAGGAAATGGACAATTTTCTGGATAGATAACACTTAACAAAATAAATCAAGAACAGATAAGTAAAATAAATCGACCTATAAGCCCTAATGAAATAGACTCAGTCATGAAAAGTCTCCTAACCAAGAAAAGCCCAGGACCAGATGGCTTCACTGCAGAAGTCTACCAGAAATTCAAACAAGAGCTAATACCAGTCCTCCTCAAGTTTTCCACACAATAGGAGCAAAAGGGTCATTGCCAAATTCTTTTTACAAGGATACAATTATCTTGATACCCAAGCCACACAAAGGCACAACTAAAAAAGAGAAATACAGACCAATAAACTTCATGAACATCGATGCAAAAATACTCAACAAAATACTGGTGAATAAAATCGAAGAACAAATCCGAAAAATCAACCACCATGATCATCCTAGGGAAGCAAGGGTGGTTCAACATAGGAAAATCCATCAATGTAATCCACCATATAAAAAAACTGAAAAAGAAAAACCACATGATCATCTCACTAGATACTGAAAAATCCTTTGACAAAAATCCAACATCCCTTCATGATAAATTCATGTTGGAGAGAACATGAATAACAGGAACATACCTAAACATGATAAAAGCAATATGTACCAAACTAACAGCCAACATCAAACTAAATGGAGAGAAACTCAAAGTGATTCCTCTAAAATCAGGAATAAGACAAGGCTGTCTACTCTGTCCATATCTCTTCAATATTGTACTTGAAATTCTAGTTAGAATAGTAAGACAAGAAAAGGAGATCAAGGGATACAAATTGGAAAGGAAGAAGACAAACTTTCATTATTTGCAGATGATATGATAGTCTACATTACTGACCCCAAAAACTCTATCAAGGAACTCCTACAGCCAATAAACACCTTCAGCAAAGTAGCAGGGTACAAAATTAACTAAAAAAAAATCAGTAGTCCTACTATATACAGATGATAAACACAATGAGAAGGGAATCAGAGAAACATCACCCTTTACAATATCCACAAACAACATAACATATCTTGGAGTAACACTAACCAAAAAAAGTGAAAGCCCTGTACAGTAAGAACTTTGAATCTTTAAAGAAAGAAATTAAATATGATATCAGAAAATAGAAAGATTTCCCATGCTCTAGGATAGGTAGGACCAACATAGTAAAAATGGCAATCTTACGAAAAGCATTCTACAGGTTCAATGTGATCCCCACCAATATCCCAACACAGTTCTTCACAGATCTTTAAAGAACAATATTGAACTTTATATGGAGAAACAGAAAAACAAGGATAGCCATAACAACCCTGTATTATAAAGGAACTTCTGGAGGCATCAACATCCCTGCCTTAAAGCTCTATTATAGAGCCATAGTCCTGGTATGGCACAAAAGTAGACAGATAGACCAATGGAATCAAATTGAAATCCCTGATAATAACACATACCTATGAAAAACTGATTTCTGACAAAGAAGCTAAATTTATACAATGGAAAAATAAAGCATCTTCAATAAATGGTTCTTGCATAACTGGATTTGGACCCATAGAAATTGCAGCTAGATCCACATCTATCACCATGCACAAAACTTAAGTCCAAAGGGATCAAAGACCTCAACATAAATCCAGCCACACTGAACATCTTAGAAGAGAAAGTGAAAGGTACCCTTGAAAGAATTAGTCTAGGTGAATGCTTCCTGTACATAATACCAGTAGCACAGACATTAGCATCAATAATTAATAAATGGGACCTGCTGAAACTGAGAAGCTTCCATAAGGCAAAGGACACATTCAGTAAGACAAAACAGACAGCCCACAGAATGGCAAAACCCCATATCTGACAGTGGGCTGATCTCTAAAATTTATAAAGAACTCAAGACCAGGCTGGTGAAACCCACAGAATCAGGTGACCTGAACAAGGGGAGTGCATGGACCCCAGATGGATGTCTGAGAGGGCAGCATGGGACTGATACAGAACCCTGAATGTGGATGCCAATGAGGAGGCCTCAGCACTCTATGTGGCCTCTGGTAGTGGATCACTATTTATCTCTGGCATAAGAAAGGACTTTGGGAACCCATTCCATGTGGAAGGATGCTCTCTCAGCCTGGACACATGAGTGCGGGCCTAGTCCCTGCCCAGGATGATATCATAGCCTCTATGAATCCTCCATGGAAAGCCTTATCCTCCCTGGGGAGCAGAGGGGGATGGGGTGGGGGCACTGGTGGGTGTGGGTGAAGAGGGGAGGGAGAAGGAAAAGGGATTGACGTGTGAAGCAGTCTTGTTTCTAATTTGAACTAATAAAAAATAATTTCTTTGAAAAAAAAAAGACCCTATACCAAAACTGGTTCATTTGTTTCCTGCTACTGTGGATCAAACTCCACCCCACAACAGTTAAATAATCTAATGGCTATTAAAAGAAAACATAATTTTCTGGATGATAGAAAAGCATTAGCAAGGTATATAAGACAGGAACAAGGTCTTAGTATCAGGCATTCATTCTCCAGCCATATTGAGGATATGAAGACATTCAGGCTCAGGATAATCCAGACACACTAAGGAAAGGCAGCTGGATCAGCCCATTCTGCCTGAGGTGGTGGTAAAAGCTAATGGCCCACTACTTTGCCTTTTGGACTTTCACCTTGAAGTTTGAACCCCAATATCAGTCTCTAGGTCTTTTATTTTTGTACAGCACTTCTCAAGGAGAACTGAAAATAGTTCATTAAGCAGAATGGCCAGTTAATCTAAACTAACATATAAAACTTACAAAAATTTGTCATTTTATCATATATAAATTCCCAAAGGAGAACTTCTTTAAAGTGTAGAGTTGGTGAAAGGTTTATGTTTGTCTTTTCAGGAGAAAAAAAGGTATCTATCTATGAAATCAGGAAACCACTGGACAAATGAGACATCTGAAGAAAAAGGGCAAATAATCCAGAAAAAATTGGTGTATCATATTTCCAACAGGATAACATATCATAAATCTTGCCAAATGTATGGGTCTGCTTTTCTCTACAGGCATAATGCAATTGGTTCTTTTGTAGTCCCTGTCCAACGAAAAATTAAATCTGGCTTTTTAGTTGGAGTGTGGCTTTCTCCTTCTATAAAGCAAAGCCCATTTAGTAAAGAAAAATAAAAAAATCCATCTCAGGTAAGAAGAGCCACCTGATATGGAACAGAAGAAAACCAAATATTTAAGGACTATTGTATTGCCACTAATCTCTCAATCCTTTGGTTTTATGTTGACTTTAACAGCTTTTCTTAAAGCAAAATATTATATTTATATAAAAATTATAAGATTAATATATATGTATTTTAAAGTTTTTGTCATGATATTAGTACTCAAATACAGTAGTAATTCTAGAAAATGTTTTCGTATACCTTCCTGTACATGATTTCCAGTTTGAGTCTCTACCAGTCTTCTAGTGTAACCATGACCACACCTAACAGTGAACTTTGAAGTCTTCATAAGGAGAATGGGGCACCACAGTAATTTTACCAGGACTATGATAACACCATTAAGAGGAACAATGCCAACTAAAGATCAACTTTGTAATACAAACTGCTCAGAACAACTTCAAGATGTCTAGCTGAGGTGATCCAGTCTCATGGACACTACACAGAAGAATTGTGAGGTGGCAAGCTGAGATTTTTCAGCCTCTCAGACTACTCTAGCCAGGATTTGAAACAAAACCTGCAGTTTCCCATCATGTAGAGACTGGACAAAAATGATACAGCCTGAGAATTTTTACCCAAATCTTTCTTTTCAGGATCCCATAAAGATGTCATTGTCTACAGAGAGCAGGAAGTAAATTTAAGAATACAACATCCACATTCCTAATAAATGGGGTAGATGGTTTTTCATCATTCTTTAGGTTATGGATATTTGTCACTGTTTAGGAGGTTTGGTTACAAAACTTTGTTGGTTGTGGTCAGGAAGAAGTTTAAGTTAGGGGATTAGATTCACAGTTCTTGTCTTGAAAAAAAAAGAAAGGATGGAAATATGACAGGATAAAATAAAAATGGGAGAATAAAAATATGATCGGATTATAGGAAGTGTGACCCTTTGGAGCAAGTGTGGCTTTGTTGGAGGAAGTGTCAGGGTGGGCTTTGAGGTTTCAAATACCCAAGCCAGGCCGAGAGTCTTTCTTCTTGCTATGTACAGATCCAGATGTAGAACTCTCAACTGCTTACTAGCAATCATGTCTGTGTGCTGCCATGATTCCCACCATGATAATGGACTGACTGAACCTTTGAAACTGTAAGGAAGCTACAATTAAATATGATCTTTCATAAGAAAAAAATAAATGTGATCATATTAAAAGGTAGATTATTGAATCTACACTTTAAAAGCAACTACTAGTTTTACATATTTTACATTGGTTTGTACTTTCATGTATTGTAAACAAATATCATATATTGATGCAAATTTGAGATTAATTGGTTAAGACATATTGTACATACATTTTCTTTTGTTCTTTTTTTCTTTTTTTTACTACTTAAACACTCTTTAACTATGTATGAGGTGCCCCTACTCCTGTATCTTTTTGTATTTGCTCTTCTCCTTTCCTACTTGTCAAGACTTGGCTTTCCCTTCCAGGATCTTCTTGTCGTCTTTGTCCAGCTTTATCCTGGTGATAACCACCTTACTTGGGTGGAGGCCCACATGGACCATTGGGCCATTAGCTTTTTCTCGATTCACCCATTCAATGTAGATAATGTATTTCTTCCTGTACACCTGGACCACTTTGCCAATTTGCTGACCTTTATAGTGTCCTTGGACAACCTGAACTTCATCCTTTCGAATGGGCATAGATCGAACATTGTACTTCTGTCTCATCTCTTTGGAAAGAGAGGAAGACATGATCTTCCTCCAGATGTGAGAAGGTGCGTGTCTTGATTCAGTAAGAAGTCAGGAAGGGATTGAAGTTCATTTTGGCTGCTGCAATCCAGCGATGCCCGCAAAAGGAAAGACTGTGCATACATTAATAATCTTGCTTGAGGTATTGTACTGTACACCTCATTTATCAATGTAATCCAAATTTCTAGTTCTTGAAAGTTATTACTATGATGGAAATGTAGGTAAGTAATTAGTTATTACAATTGAACTTGCAAAAGCATTAGGTGTGTTTTCAAAGTCAAACAGATATATTTTAGATAGATAAGTCATCTTCAAACACTTCAGAGATCTACAGAATATGGTGTTTGAATGTTTTACTAACTACATAATTCTATGAAAATGATACATGTCTTTTCCTGGCATCACCAATCTACTGCAGAGAAGATGATGGTCATCAAAGAAATTCCACATAGAATTTACTATTTTTTGGCAAAAGTTAGCCCCTGGCTAAGAAAGTGCCCTTGACTTGACTGCTGACAGTATGCCATCCAAATTGGATAAACAGGACACAAAAGAGAGTGAGTGCAAAACCTTGCTAAGACCAATTTGGATAATCAGGACAAAAAAAGAGAGTGAGTGTAAAATCTTGCTAAGACAAGGTAGGAAAGCCCTTTAGAAAATCCTGCTTCACATAGAAAGTCTGTAAGTGATGCTAGACCTGTAGGATAAATATGGATGCCCCAACTTTGCAGAGGAACCTTGAGTGGCTGTCCAGTCAACCAGCTGTTTTTGTCATTTCTCACAGTTTTTGAAGTCACTTGCTAGCACTTCCTGCTTGCTCAGTTATATTTCTTTCATGGGTCTTTGAGGGAGTTGAAGATTAGTTAGTATACATACAGTTTTCATCATTTACCAGACACAGAAAGGAAACTCACTAAAGAGGTATAAAGTGTAACAGTTTGAGAGACATTAAAAGAAAATTTGATAATGCAAATTAGAATAGGAAAGATATTATGCACTGTAGTCACATCTTGCCTGCCAGTGAACTTGTAGTGGTGGCCACACTCTTTGGACATTGTTTCAGGTGCCTAACTGACCGACTAAAAGGTAGAGAAGGGTCTTGCTCAAGCTCTCTTGGGTTGTGGAGAGTATCAAAAGGGCAGAGACTGCATATTCTGGAGCAGGAAGACCATGGTGATTATTTACTTTATTTGTGTAAGTGCTTCCCTAATAAATTCATATTTATCATTCATTTTGTGTCTGACAGTATCAATTAAAACATGCCTTCAATGTACAAGACTTTGGACTCACTAAGAAAGGATAGATAATGAAGTATTTTCTCAGAATTTTTCATTTGCAAATGGAGTAGATATTTCTCTGAACTTGTCAAATGCAAATGATCTAGACATTGTTGACAAACTTGTAGCCTGGATATACTGTAGATACTTGGCGTGTGTGTGTGTGTGTGTGTGTGTGTGTAATGTTTTTTGTCACCTTCTTTTGTATTTTGTATAGGACCAAAAGGGAAAGGATTGTGACATAATATTTATAATTTATTAAAGCTTGCCTGCAGATTCAGAATGCAAAGTCAACCTCAAGCTATAGAGAAAAGGCAATGGTGATACACAACTTTAATCTCAGGATTCAGTAGACAAAGACAGATGGGTATCTCTCTGTTCCATGCCACCCAGGGCTATATGACATTGATCAGTTTAAAAAAGTAACAAGAGCTGGAGCCTTTAAACCCAGCACTAGAACGGCATAAAATATAGGAGCAGGATCTTCATTTGTCAGTATCAGGAATCTCTAGTCATGGTGAGGAGAGCAAGGGAGTCTTAGTGAATCGGAGGAGCAGTGAAGTTGGGAGCAGTTTGAGGATTTCACCTTTTGTTGGATCTGAGTTAGTGGTATGAGCTAGTGGCTGCCTGCTATGCTTTTCTGATCTTCAGCTTTAAGCTTGAACCCCAATATCTTCCTCTGTGTCTTTTATTTACTGTGCTACATAGGGCTCTGTAAAATATATGAAAATGTAGATTAGCCCAGGGTGTAGTATTTAAATTTGCTGACCATATATCTCACTATTAGGGAGCTAAGAAATGGATAACGGTCTTCAGACATCAGGGAAATCAGGTTTCATCTATGTAGAGCACTTGCTAGTATAGTTAACAAACTCACCAAAAGGAGATCTGGAATTTAAAGGAAAAGATGTGCTTGAAAATAGATTTCATGCGTGTGGTGAAATATGAAAGATCACAAATTCAAGGCTAGCCTTGGATATAGTGACTTTCCTGGTACTCTAGGCTACATGGAAAGGAAAGAACAAAGGAAAAGAAAAGTGAATAGAAAAGAAATAAACAAGTCAAGGGAACTTTAAAATATCTCTAAAGGTCATAGCACTAATGGCCCTATATGGCCCTTGTTATCTTTTTGGTCAGGTAATATTCATCATGTTAGAAAATAAAAATTTAGAGACTGGATTCTTTGGCAGAAACTGAAGAATGCTACTCAGGAGAAAATATCTCTATGGTTTTAGTATATAAATGTGCCTGACACAATTTCTCATTATAGTCTATTTAAAATAAAATGACTGGTTTATTATGGCACACTGACTTTTTGTATCCTTGCTATAGAAGGGGATACATATGGTATGTATGGATTTATGGACATTGATCATAGCAACTCAGCAGATGCCAGCTCAGTGGATCCACCTCTTGTGACACGGTGGGAGATAAATAAGTCGGTGTACCCCCTTCTGAAATAAACTGAACTTGTTGTTTCAACTTGTTTCCAGTGCCTGTGTTGGTGTCATTCCTACTTCCCCACACCCCCAAGAGATACGCATCCTGACCCTGAATTGCCATCATTGTTGTTGTTGCCTCAGTAATTTTGGGGGCCACCATTTTTGTTCTTTTCTGATGCCTCTGCATTCAGAAGAAGTGACCGAATCTTGAATTTGTTTTCTATAACCTGACTGACGGATCCCCCCTCTTTGCTCATGATGCCGGATAGAATCCCCTGTTTGGTATTTTTCGGTAAGTAGGTCTCTCTGTATTGAGTCCCACTGCAGGATAATCTCTCTTCTTTTCAGTATTTGTCTTCTTTGTTGCTATGGGAAATCCTCCTCATTGTAAGCAGGTTCATATTGGGGCTCTCAAGTTTCTTTTAACCAGCTGAGGGCTTCAGGCAGATCTAGAAAAATTTGGATGGTGGTTTCAGTTTTAGCACCTTGGATCTTCCAAAGGAACATGTGGGACCCTGATCTTTGGCTGTGGGTTTTATTTCTGGCTAGGAAGAAAGAGAGGCCCCTCAATTATCCTTTATCTCAATTCTGTTGGCAAAATCACTAATTTAACATCCTCCTCTACTGAGGAAGTGATTAAAGCCCACAATGAACACTGTCAGGCTATGCAATGTCAACTTATATATCACCTCAATTTCACTGATGTATGATATTCCTACTAACTCTGATGATGAAGGAAAGGCAGCAGGAAAAGAGAAAGAAAAAGAAAAGAAAAGGGAAAATGAAGAAAAAAAGGAGGCCAATCCTGAAGCCCCAGATTGTAGAACTGAGTAATTCAAGGTTTTCTCTGACTTCCAGTCGTGTTCTTTGGCATACACATACACAAACTTAAGCATGCACATGCACACACATACATACTCACACATAAAATTAATACATAAAAGTAATTTAAAAATTATTGCAAGTGCTAAAGCTAGAATGTTAAATGTAAAAACAGAAGCCAGAGGCTCATTTCAGAGACCTCTTATTTATTATATAATTATGAATATTGTTATTGTTAGCACTCCCTTAGGGAGCTGTTCTCAAATATTATTACAAATTATTTGATGAATCTTTTATATCAGTACAAGATGCCAATAAAAATGTGACCTAACTACCAAAGAAATAGGTGGTGGAATAAGCTATCCCTGACTCTAGCCACCAATGGTTTTCTACATTAGCAGTAATTAATTTTAGTAACTAAATAAATGGAGAATTTGAAGTTACTTTTAAGTGTAATAAATTGCTGCTTTTAAAGAGCAAGAAAATGGAGCAAAACTTTCCCAATGTCTTGTTTCTTATAATAAAAGAGTATTATACCAAATGTGAAATGGACTTTGACTTCTGATCTTACATAACATCACCCTATAGCTAAATATACTGCCAGATATTAAATAAATTAAATCATAATTTAAAAATCATTCAGATGAAGAGATCTCTAGATACATGATAAATACTTATAGGATCTGAGAAGAAACAGGCCACGGAAGTTTCTAGACAGAGATGAAAACTCCAATAAAGAGGGAGAGAATAGTATGAACTTTATACAAGCTTTCAGTAGGAAAGAAGGTCAGAATAAACTTCTAAACTTGCTTGATGTCAAAAAATACCTTTATATCAAAGCTTGCCAGCAACAGTAAAAGAAAAATATCTTCAAGATAATCTGAAACAAAATGCTAATAGACAAAACCCATAAGAACATAGTATATTCAATACCCTCAAATCAAAATGCATTTATTCTATGTAAACTATGTTAAAGTTAGAACACAAATTATTTTCATGCATAGAAGATGAATTCAGTGAAAAATATGATTATGAGAGTTAGCGCTGTCCAATCTGTAGACAGGTATACCTTTATAAAAATAGATGATACCAATCAAAATGTATGGATAATATCATACTTACTAGCAAAATACTTAAAATGTTCCTTCGATATAGGTCACAAGAAACAGCAATTGACATGACTACTCTTCAACAATTCACTGATATGCTGATTAACCATAATCAGCATAATGAAGCATAATGAAAAAAATATATAAGAACTAAAAAGTTAATAAGAAAAAACATTTTATAAACTATACATTTTAGGTAAAAATATAAAAGAAACTATTAAGAAATCACTAAAATTAAGTTTCTCAATATATTGTCTCAATATATTATTATATACCTTCCACATATAATAAAAATTCAAAAGACTGTTTAAAGAAGAGGAATTTATAAGCAATAGATGTTAATTGCCAGAAAAATATTTGTATGATCTCTCAAT